GGCTTTACTTAAATTAGTCAATTAATTGTACATTATAATTTACGACACTTACGTAAGTTTGTGAGAATGAGTCCGCCATTCAGTTTCCATAGTTTTTTTTTTTTTTTAAAAATCGATGTTGTTTTTCATCTATGGTTTTCCTGGGCGGCCAGGGAAGCATAATTGTGTTCATACACGCATTATATTATGTTTATAATCAGTGAAGTAAGGACATATAAAAGCATTGTGTTTAAATGCATTTTTTACTGTAATATGTGATTAATTATTTTTTGATATATTGTAGAAGGAAGGTAGAGAATCGGTACCATTGAAGATTTGTGTTTTGTAAACGTATACGTCTAATAAAAATAAACACTGGCAAGCAAGCGCTTCCACTCCTATATAGACAAGTGTTCTTGTTTTGATTGTAAATAATTTATGTTCGTTTTAGTGAAACGAATTAGAACATAGAGAATTTTATTAAATACTTCTATGAAAAACTTTGGCCGGCCATTGTGGCTCCGCCCTGCCCCCGGGGGTAATTATTTGAACAAACTTGAATTTACACTACCTGTCTACTTTTTTTCAAAGATAGACAAAATAACAGAATTGAAAACTGGGACTTATCTTTTTCGATGGTTTTAGCCCCCCCCCCCCCTTTTAATAAGCCCCCCACACTTTATATTTGCTTCCGACGCTTATATTGTGTTATAAACAATAATCATAGACAAACAATAATTATAGACAAAGGTTGTACAAAAAGGAAATGTATCCTTTTTACTTAGTTTTACAATAATGTATGTTTACGTCAGTGTTAATTCAGCTTGACGTTTTAAACTTTATTCTCAGGTGGGTTGGAATCACCTGTCCTTGGTTAGGTAACCATGGCAATGGAAGTCCTGATTCATTCATAAAAATTATTTAAAATGTGTCCTGTGGTAATTTGTAACTTGTATTATACAAATAAGAATGGTGTAACTGTTTATTTTCCATCAATTTAATGACATTAAGGACTATTTATTGCATTTTGATTGACTGACTGAAGATGCCATATTTTTTTTGTTATACCCTTATAAATATCATCCTATATATTTATTACTCATAAAAGGTCCAACAAAAGAACTGTTTATTAAATCGGTCTAACAAATTCACTATTGACCGGTCTTACATAAGAATTGTTAGACCGCAACGTCACTCGTCTGTTACGTCACAAGTAATAATCATCGTTCAATATCGGCGACGCGAAAATAGCCGAAGTTAAGAGCTACAAGAGTTGTTGCTAACAGCAAGGTAAGGAAGAAGGGAAGAGTATGTTTCGTGATTAATAATTTTTGTGAAACAATAGATATATAATTGATTTTGTTCTTTCTCAGCTTGATGTTTTATATTTATTGAAGAAGCCATAATTTTCCATATAAAATAATTGATGATATAGCTTGTATTGATTAAATTGATCAATTTTAAGTGAGCAGTGAAGGGTATAACAAAACAGTTATAGACTGGGATTCGGACAACATATGATTTGTTGGACCTGAATGTGAAAATGTTGCCCTTGACCTGTGGCCTCGAGCAACATTTTCACCTTCAGGTCCAACAAATCATATGTTGCCCTCACACCCAGTCAATAACTGTATAATATTTTCAAATTTGATTAGTTTGCATTTTCCATGTCTTTAATTGGAGAGAATGAGGAGAAAGAAAGAGAGTATTCAAATTTACCTTCATTGTCGGAAACACACGGGTGATATCGTCTTTACTTATCACCCGTGGGCAAACTCGCCGAAAAATCGTCGTATGTAATTAAATATACATGGGTCATTTGATTGGCCGCTTAACAGAGTCGCGATGCGAAACAACGAACCACAGATTACATTATGTATGCATGTTCGGCATAGCCGAAAACATGAAAAACTCAATAAATCCATTCACCGGTGCATTTTGCAGTTAGAAAGAGGTACTCTTTCATAACATCTGACGGATATTAATGTCAGTGACCTGTACGAGTTGACTTTCATTGTTTTAAATCAAAGTTCGCACGTTTTAACGAGCGTCAAAATATTTACCATAAATAGCAAAGTAATTAACTTACTTTTCAAAATTGAAAAGTTCCAACTTTCTGATTGGTTGACTAAAATCAACAAATTAGCATATTTTACGGCGATATTTCAGCTAGTTTGCCCACGGGTGATAAGTAAAGACGAGATCACTCGTGGGATATCGACGATGATTTACCTTACATCATTTTACTTTCTTTAAATGTCCCATGTGGTTTTTTCTAAAATGTACAAAATGCCAGTCTCGGAGTTTGTTTTTTGTTTGTTTATTTACTTCCATCTCGAGAACGCCAAATTTGCCGATGAAGAGCTGCAAATTATATGTCCTATGCTCGGGGTCATTTAAGGAATGTTTTAAGTTGTGTGTGAATTGAAGTGTAAATCTATATTTCCAGACTTGTCACGTTGGCACGTAAAATATCAAAGTCGTTAAAAAGCCTGGAAAACTTCATATATTTTAGATTAGATTAAAATATGTATATACTTAAAGTATTGTTATAACATAAGTGAATATTCTTATAGTATTTTTAATGATTTTTTTCTCTTTAATGAGGCATTAGAATCACAGATACTCTTTGTGTTTATTGATGGTAATAAGTATTCCATTTGTCAGGTCATCCACTTTGTAAACTGGCAAATTAATTGTCAATTTAGTGTTATTTGAAACAAACATTTATGAAAACATTGTTGTTTAATTTAGTGTTATTTGAAACAAACATTTATGAAAACATTGTTGTTTTCAAAACATTTCAGTTAAGGAGACTCGGGGGGGGGGGGGGGGGGTAACAAATTAATCACCAGAGTTAACTTTATGTTTTAGATACGATATCTTAAGCTGTAAACTAACGTTTGGCTAAGAAAATTTTCAAAAATTTTAAAATTTCATCATTTTCTATATCTTCATATGGAGCACTTCTCCTGAAGGAGATCAATTAAGTCTAAAAATGGCCACAACAGCCTCTTTAAATATATGAATCGCAAACAATTTGTTTAAAAAAATCACTTTTTGGGAAGGCTCGTTCTAGAACACGTTTCTGTCTTGGAACAAATAAGTGTCACAATGTTAAAATTAGGCATTTCAAAAAAGTATACTGTAAATGTATTAAATTTAGCTGTTTAATCATTTTAGCATTTTTGGCAGAAATAAATACCCGCTAATTCAAGTACAACGTTAAATGTTTCGCACATATATTTACAAAGAAAACATTAATATATGCGCTAAATCAAATCCACGCTAACTTGTTCAAAATCCAATTTCCGATAAAAATCGTACGCGCTGAATACGTCAGTATGTTAAATACTATGATGAGTTAAAATATAAACACTTGAAAAGGTGTGTTCCCATTTCGCCTTAACTGTGAAATACAGGTAAGAAAAAGTTAAAAAGTACTAAGGCGAAATGGGAATTTTAGAATTTGTAAATATTATTACAAGGTTGATAAAAAAATTATTTTTATTTAAAATTTTGATTGAATTTAACTATTAATGGGAAATTATGAATACTTTGAATGAAATAATATGTGTAATACCAAAAAATACTTTATGCTAAATATATGAAATCTTCATCACCCTAAATTCACCTGAGAACTTACTAAGGCGAAATGGGAATGCTAAATTTTACAGTTAAGGCGAGATGGGAACCTTGAAAACAGGAGCCAATCAAACGGAAAGCGGAAGACATGAATATTTATATAAAGACAGAAGTTTTCCTTTAATGTAAGAATCATTGACAAATCAAAAGTCGGTGTTTATAAGGTATGTTGTCATTTTGTTTACTTTAAATATAGATAAAATGATAATTCAAATATGAATTCAGTATTTTTTCACACTTTTCTCATAACCATTTTGATTTTTAAAATGAATCAGCTCTAGTGGTGTATTTCTCTCAATAATCTTATTTTAAAAATAAAAATTGTTAAATTGCAGTACTTTTTTCTTTGAAAGGAAAGATCAGCTTTTGATAATTGAGTCAACATTCTGAAATGTTTTGGAATAATTGTAAAATTTTATTTTAATTTATTTAAACTAATATTTTCTCCAAAGATCTATATTTAAAAAAAAAAACTGTTTTAAAACTATATACACGAGGGGTGATCAAAAAGCTCGCAAACTAATTGAATAACTTCCATGAAAGAAACAATATTTGGTTTCAATGTTGATAATATTTTTAATTAATCCTCTCCAATTTTATTGAACAAGGTTTAAGGAATAGCTTATATATATATATTTTTTCGTATTATACCTAATAACAGCCGTAGCTGCTTTTAAAAAAATACTGACAGTAGAAAGATGCATTGTTGCGATTTTTTGTGAAATTGGACGATCGAGAGACTTGAAATCAAATGGGCTAATTTAAAAAAATGATAATTATAAAAATAGAAAAAAAAATCTCCAGATAAATTAACTATAACTATTAACAAAACCCCTATATTAAAAGAAATAAAACTTCAGTTTTCATGCAATGTCTTTCTACACTTATGCAAATTTGGTAGCATTTTTTAAAAAAAAAAAAAGATAAACCTGCATGGCGATCTCAGTGCATAATCAAAAAAGGAAAAAAAAGAGAATAATGCAGGGCTAAATGTGTGCGCAGATAGTACTTTATTGAATGACTCACATAGGACACAATAATGATGGGTCAAAGCCATTTACAAAAGAAGTTTTATATGCATTCTTCTTTATTTAACCATAAGTTCACTTTTAGACTCAAATGGCACAACTGCAAATAAAAGCAACTGAATTCAAATATAAATCACTATTACTTTTGCTCGCATTTCGTTGTGGTTCGAGTGCCCGCTCTTAAGTCGCGGAGGTAGGGGCTCATTTTTACATTGCAGGATTCGCGCATGAAATTCATTTGCTCCAATTATTTCTGTGGTATTCGTTGACTTTCGATAGAAAATATAGAACTCATGTTTCCTTTCTTTTTCAATTTTGTTATTTTAAAAGTTGATTTAAAAAAAAAAATGTTTTATAGAAATATTCCAAGATGTATGTATCGGCTATATCGTCCATCCTCGCAGCTTTGTTGTTTGTTAGTCTTGTCATGGAAGGTAAGATCATACATTCACAAGATATTTAACGTTTAATAGTTGTTTGTCAGTAGTAGTTGAATGTGAAATTATTGGTGCATCACCTTAAAGTATCTGATCCAACCTTATATGTATAATCTTCATTTGAAGTCTCAGTATGAGAGCGGAATGTGTGCTAATTTTTGACTTACCCGTCCTTGAAGAGTTATCCCCCTCTGCTTTTCATCAATAAAATGATTTGAAATTTTAATCGTTTTTTATTCTTCATTATTTTATACATCTTTTCATCACCATTGATTTCTTATATAATATTCATAATATTTCAGTTTTTATTTTTAAAAAAATTCTTCTTCCAAAAGACCTCATTCTTAATTAATTACTGCTCGAGTAATTATAATAAATTTGAAAAATTCTCCTGGTAAATCCTTTTCTACTTTAAACTCTTTTGAATTAGTTTCAAAATATTTAATGCGGGAAGGATATAAAGGGTTAGAATTTTTTTTTCCTTTTTATTTGGTTGAGTTGTTTACACGTTTCAGTGATCGTAATGAAACAATAGATAAAAGAAGTTCTTTTAAAAAGTTAGAGGGAATTTAACAATTGAAAATAAAAGCAAGACACACGAAAGTTAGATAGGATTCGTGTAACTACTAAGAAAAATGTATATTTTTATCTTGAATACTGTTTGTTATCGCCATATGGTACATCTTATAATTAGGGATAGATGCACAGACTTGTCAAGAGGTATTGAACTGTACCTCGGAGTACACCTCGGCGGCATCTGCTGCAGGACAAGACAAAGTCAAACAATGCAGGTAAGTGCAATCTATTTTTTCATTCAAACGAGTTTTTATCGAAATATAGTTAGGATGATTTAAGTGTGTTGGAGTAGCATTTCACCCATAGCATCATCTCTCTATGAATCTATACTGAAGAGAAGTAGAAAATCCAGTAAAATTTGTTTTTAAAGCGTAAATCTTAATCGAAGTGACATTTTGGCTAATAATTGTCATAAAAATTATCGGATTTTAAATTGACCAAAGTGTACATGTATTTGATAAACATAAATGCCCTTTTCACTTCTAAGGAAAGGCAATGAAATTAAGTAGATCAAACAAATAATCGCCTCCTTTTCTTGAGTAGATGTCCTTTTATATTATAAAAGTATATATTGTATTTATAAACAACGAGGACAAACCTTGAATTCAATAATAAATGTTAACAGATTTTAAATTGACCTAGATGTATTTGATAAACACTATTGCCTTCTTGTGGCCACTTGTAAGGAAGAAGTGAAAAAGTTTTCCCTTTCCTTTCCTGGAGTGGAATTTCCTTTATCTTATGAATACTTAATTGTCATAATTTTCTAATTAGAAGAGGATGTATTTGATAAAGACAAATGTTCCTATTTTGCCATTACTATTAAAAGGGAATTATAAATTATCGGATTTACAACTGAAACGGAACGTATTTGATAAACACAAATGCCCCTCGTTTGGTCATTTAAAAAAAGATACTGTTATGGCCACAGGCACCTGACGTTACTTATTTTTCTTTTAATAAAAAAATATACACATACCTAATAATAAACAAGGTACCCAACGCCGCCATCTTGAATTTTTCTAGGTCTGTCGCATCCTCTTGTATTTTCGTCTGAAACTCCGTCAAATAAATTCTCTGCAACCATATTCTTTCTGTGGCCAGTCTTTCGAGGTCTAAACTTACGGACAGTACAACCAGAAGGGCGCATCAAACTTGCAAATATTAAAAATCCTTCATCAAACTCGATCTACTGCTTCAACAATCCGAGAAATCGCCAAAGGGGAGCCGGAAGTTTACATACGACTTGAAATTCTTAGGGAAAGCCCTTTTTTGATTGGTCAATATATTTGTACGATTTATTTTTAAAAATAACCTGCGAAAGTTAGTATACTTATTCCAAAAACGATAATTCAGACAATAATACAGCGTAATATACATGTAAGAACATTCATTTTTTATCTCTCAAAATAATTTCGATACAGCTTGATCACAGCGATTATATTTTAGGCCTAAATGTCGAAGATCGGCCTGATCATGCTAGCTGATCAACATGATCAATGAACATTTTCGAGACAAAATATGGAGTCAGTTGTAAGTCCCTATTTACCATGTTTACATGCACTAAATATAATTAACACTGTCATTATTGATGCCCTGATTGAGCGCTATCCGTGGAGAAGATTGACTTTGTTTATTTAAAATATGTACGCACGTGTGTGAGAAGGGGGGGGGGGGGTCCACACTAAAATTATTCCAGGGAGTGTTGAGATCTGCAATTTTATGTATTGCAATAAAGTAGTGGCATGGCGACATTTTTTTTACTTGGTGACAGATTATACATACACATGTTGCATATGCTAATATTTGATTTCATTATGTACATATCCCCGAGCCTTTAACCCCTCCCCTTTTTCAATTGAGCATATGCCAGGTATATATATGTTACATATAATGTATATATATAACTGGATGGTTTGCAGTCTATTGTTTTTTAAAAACCATTCAATTAACTCTGGATGATTTGTTGTTGATTTTTTTTTCAAGCACCCCCCTCTTTTATTCAAGATTGTTTCGAACGCAACGATCTGTATAGATCAATACAGTATATTTTACAGGTATGTTTATAAGAAGTGTTTTATTTTTCCCATTTTGCATTTTTTTTTCATTTTAATAATCGAAATATTTATTAAAATTCAAAGTAATTATAACACGCCGCCTTAGATCCACCACAACTCTGACAAATACGGAATTCCCATTAGCATATTGATGTAAACTTCCGGCCCCCCTTTGGCGATTTCTCGGATTGTTGAAGCAGTAGATCGAGTTGGACGAGGGATTTTTAATATTTGCAAGTGTGATGCGCCTTTCTGGTTGCACTGTCCGTAAGTTTAGACCTCGAAAGACTGGCCACAGAAAGAATATGGTTGCAGAGAATTTATTTGACGGAGTTTCAGACGAAAATACAAGAGGATGCGACAGACCTAGAAAAATTCAAGATGGCGGCGTTGGGTACCTTGTTTATTATTAGGTATGTGTATATTTTTTTATTAAAAGAAAAATAAGTAACGTCAGGTGCCTTTGGTTATGGCAGACATGAAACACACATGCTACATGTAGTTTCTAGTGAACATGTATTTAACACGAAATGAGACAACTTACCTGGGGGGGAGGGTGAAGTGTACAAGAAACTTGTTTGTTTCAAGCTTCCACTTTTTGTTTTTTAAATATTCTTTTGTTTTGCTACAGCGCTGGCAGTGTTTACATAACATGCCTGGAAGCCGCTGCAAAGAACTGTGAAATAGACATCACCCAGACATTAGACGACGCCAAAAAGACCTTCTCACAGGCAGGATGTCAAACGTCAGCAGGTACACTATAGAAATGTGATGACTTTTTAGATCACCTGAGTAAACTACTGGTATCCGTCGTCGCGCGTTAACATTTGGATATTTTCAGCTTATTCTCTGAAACCATTGAACAAATTTCAACTTAAGTTGGCATATTGCATCTATGGGTGAAGGAAAACCGGAATTGTGAATTTCATGGTCCCTGTCCCCCTGGGGCCAAGGGGTGGAGCCAAAAACCACTAAAATCAATATTTTTAAAATTTTTCTTCTTTACTCTTGAAAATCAGGCAGGCATGAATGTAATGAACATTGGGTCCTCTACCAGAATGGTTAATTCATGGCCCAGAGTCAGGGGCTCTAGTGCTTGGGCGGGGCTATGTCGATTATACAGTGAAAATGCATAAACTCTGGGAAATTCTTCTTCTCTGTTCGTGGGAATTAAATAAACTGACCAATGGTATAGTTATCTTGAATAAGGCTGCCTCTTCCAAAATTGTGAATTTCATGGCCCCTGGGTTTGGGGTTTTGGAGTTGGGTTGGGGCTGTATTAATTATATAGTGGAAATGCATATATTCATTAAAAATCTTCTTTTCTGCGCCTGAATATCCGACCAACGAAATATGTACATAGTTATGAGGAGGAAGGATGCCTTTTTGAGAATTGTGAATTTTAGGGTTCCTGGGTCAGTGCTTATAAGAGTTATGGCGGGCCTCTCATGTTTATATAGTGAACATGCATGAACTATTTGAAAATCTTTTCCTTTACTCCTGGGTTTTATGTCAATGATCTTAGTACATATTTATGATCAAAAAAGATGTGTTCTCAAAAATGATTAATTTCCGGGTCCCATGGGACAGAAGTTAAGTTACCAAAGTAAGCATGTACATAGTTATGATAAGCAATGGTGCCTCTTTCAAAATTGTGAATTTCATGGCCTCTGATTTAAAACACGATTGAAATTCAATTGTTGGAAAGTTGTTACATATTACTCAGGTGATGTACAAGGCCCATGGGCTCTTGTACATGTAACAGCTTCATAGCATCCGATATTTATGTCCACTGAATATTATTATGACCCCCGCTTGAAATGCGGGAGGATATATAGTGATCGGGTTGTCTGTTCGTTTGTCTGTTACGCTTTGCAGTACTCTTATCTTACCCGCAACTCTTCTGATACCACTGAATGAAATTTGATGAAACTTTCTGAGAATCTTTATTACATAATGCAATTGTGCACCTCTTATTTTACCTTTTGATCCTACACATATTTTGGGTTTCCCTTAGCAAAACATGGACACTGCTTTTATCTACATATAGGAGGCGGGATGTCATTTAGTGAGCTCACTGCTCACAGAACCTCTAGGTTCCGTTAGTTCTCATGAAAACAATTGCCGTTAACCAGTCCACAAAGGATACAAAGAGCCACCTACGAAGATTTCTTAAAACATGGCTGTTTCATCAGTTACATGTATGCATACAATGACTTTACGTCTATAATACAATATTAAACATTCGTTTATACTTTGAATATTTATTTTCATAAATACGAGGGTCATTCAAAAAATACGTAGACAATGCTTCTCATCGTCATATAATTATTACAAGATTATAGATCAACACATTTTCGTAAACATAAACATTTATTCTGTCGAAGTGTGAAGTTTCATTCCATTTGATTAAATAGAACTCATGTTAGCCAAAATTTAAACCAACATGTTTTGTTTCCACGGAGCACGGTTAACCAACATTGTAACGTCAAAGACAACGTTGAGAAAGTTTATCATAATTATACTAATTTTCTTAATTTCAAACACGGTTTGTAGCATCTTCTCCATTCAAAAATACATATCCATAAGGCCAAAATAAAAAATACGTTTGTTTCCCCTAACGCGACCGACCCAATTAAATCGCGCCGACTAAAAATCTTTTTTGAATAAGATGATTCAAACATTTTTTTTATTATTAACCAAGTTTAATAAAATACAATTTCATCAAAATCAGTTTTTATCAGAAAGGCCGACATTGTTCTACACTGTGATTTTCAAGCATTTGTTGGAAACAAAATGATGTCCAGATGTGATTACACGACATTAGCTCTTCATAAAACAATGGCGACGTCTCAATCTTTTGCTTTTAGCTAATTGGAATTCTTTACTCATGAAACAATTCGATAATAAAATCTACCTGGCATGACTAATTAAGAGCGTGTCGGAGGTGTCTTGTCGTCTCCATGTGAGTGAATAAATTTTCGAAAGGGACGTTAAACAACAAACAAACCCTGTCTTTTTAATTCAAGGTACGTAATACAGGGTAAGAACGCTTCATGAGTAGATAAGTGGCCCACCTAGTGAACAAATCATTCAATTACACTGATTTTTACCTAATTTGAGTTTTGATCTAATAACCAGTCCATCTATGTACCTATGTTTTATATATGCCATTATGGAACCATACGAGTCGTTGTAAATATGGCTGCATATTCATCCTGATAAATAGAATTCAGATGTCCTTTCTTCATGCCTTTATTTAGTGGTAAAACTTCGTGACTATGATATTGTATACAGCATTTTTATCATTTGTAGACTCGGTTTGGTTCAATTAACTATTGTTAACATAATCTTTCTATATAGTTTTGAAATCATGATTCAGCTTCCTGAGACGTCCAGTGTATTTGTCTTTAATTAGGTCCTTGAAAATTGGTTGTTTTTTTTGCTTTTAATCCTCGAGATTAGTTAGGACGACATTTAAACATTTCCCCATTGCTCCAAATTTAGACGTACTTAGCACTTTTTTTGCCATTAAGCAGTGGGGGATCTTTTTTTGAGCCAGCATCTTCTGCGACACTGGACATCAGTTTTTATGGTCCCCTTTGAAGGACCGTTTTCAACGTTATTCATCGGGATTTGAACCTGCGATTTAAAATTAGCCACTTACTTTTTAACTCCAAAGCAAAATGCTTCAGAACCACTGCAAATCTCATGGAACTCAAAAAAGTACATAGAGCGTCTATACGCTCTGAAGGCTAATGGAAGGTTTGAAAAAATATACTCGTATGTATGTTCTTTACGTATTTTGGAATGTTGTCTGTTTAATTCAATTTATTTAAATGTAATGGCGTGAGATATTTCACAAGTTCAACTAAATAACAGTTGTGAATTAATTAATCATGAATTTTATTTTAAACGGCATATGTACGATACTTAGCATTTTGATAACAAATCGCTTTCTTTTGTACTTTTCTTATTTATAAAGGTAATTTTCCATTAAATTTTAGAATGTATTTTCAAAGCTGCTGTCAGAAAATAAAATTGTTAACCTACCTACCGACCCAACTTGATAATTTAGGGTCGGGTTAGGGGAAACAAAGATATTTTTAATTCCGGCCTAACATTTAACACGGAGTTTGAAAACAATTGTACAATTAAAGCTTGAATAAGAATGGCATTGTTTTCAAATTCTTTAATTTACCATGTAACTCTATTAATTCTGCAACAGTGAAGCACACATCAAGTTCAATGACGTTCCTAACTCTTTCGACAATACTTTTAACTTTAACCTCTTCTTTGCAGACAATCCGTCGTCCGATTCAAACTCGTCTCCACTCAAAAATTGTATTTTCCATTTAATACAAATACACAGATTATTTTCCATACAGATCCTGGCTTATATGGAATTTTAAGCTTGAAGAAGAAGTTTCCCGAATGTAAAGTTCAATTTTTATTGCTACTTGCTGCTCCGTGACGTCCTCCAACGTCATGGTTTTTTGCTTTTTTTTTTAATCAAGTCCATATGTATTTAGAAGCTGATATCTTTTAATTGGAGTGACATATTACATAACCTGATTTCAGTTTAATTAATAAAGCAATACTTTATTAAAACATGTAAATTTTATTTCGTTTCAGCTCCATTCATTCGAGGCATGTCTATAGATACTATAAAGTGAAAATAATTAAATTACTCAATTTTGATGTTGCTCCGTGACCCCATTTTTGCTGTTCTAAACCCTTGGTATTTTTAATAAATATGAAGATACATTCCAATTTTTTTGCTTAAATTATCTTAATCTGTTGTTAAAATATTTGTACCAAATTTGGATATAATATGACGTTAAATAAAAAAGTTAGGACAATAGTCTACGAACTTTTTGAATGACCCTCGTATAAACAAAAACATTTTCTTTGATTGTTAGTACGGAATTAACGTCGCAGCTTTTGCAGAAAAAAATGTGTTTGTGAAATACTGATGGCAAGATAGCGGAGATAAAACTTTTTCTTAAGTGCAAACTAAATGTGTTGTACCAAAAAGAATGGTCTCGTGTCAAGGGATTAGCATGTTAATTATGAAAGTCATAAGTCAACGAAATCACAAGTTATTGGCAAGGTTAAAGTTTTTGCGGACGAACAGACAGACAGACTGACGGACGGACACGACAAAAACCAATAAACACATAATCTTCGATTTGTGTATTTCTTTCTACAAAAAGCTGCGACATTAAATCCCGTATTTTGTTTGGAAAACGTTTAATTGTTTCAATTATTTCCCGATATACCAGTGTGATAATCATTAATCATAGACAAAGGCTAAATATGAATGAAATAAAAATGTCCAAGATGTAAGTTATGTTCTCTAGATATATGTTTACGTAGTGTTTATTCAGCTGAACTGCTTTTTATTTTATTTGTAGGTGGCTATGCAACACCTTTCCTTGGTTTCGTTACTATGGTTCTGGGAGTATTGATTTTAAGATTTGTGTAAATTAATGATGAAGAATTTGGAAATAAGTGGGAAATGCTAGTCTTTTTGCGAATTGGTACATGTATTATATTTAAACAAATAGATTGGTGTTTTTTTTTATCTATAATTTGTCATAAAGGACTATTTTTTCACACTGATTGACTGACTGTACTTGCCATGAATGTATTTTTTTCTCTCTATTTTTACAATTAACTAATTGGTATTTTCCATGTCTTAAACACTGAGAAAGACAAGATATAAGAAATTTCTAAATTTACCTTATTTCATTTGACTTTTATTATGTTCTTTATGCTTTCTTTTCTAAAATGTATTAAAAAGATAATCTAAAAGATTTGTTTTTTGTGTGTATTGTTTGTCGTCTCTCTCAAGAATTTAATCTTTCATTCATCTGGAAACGCTAAAATTTGCCGTTGCGATTTTGTGCATCTGCATTACCGAATATTCTGATGGTCATTGATTTTTAAACATCGTTCTAGAGTTGCATAGTTAGGAGATGATTAATATGTTAACACCGAAAGTCTTCATGTCCTATATGTGGAATCCACTTAAAGGCATTAAGACCTGAGACGGAATAAATCTTATAGCGTATATCCCAGTACATACTGGCAGGAAAGGTTCAATCGCCAGTGGTCTCGATTAGGACGTTAAAAAAAACAATTAATCAATCACCAGTTAACAAGTCATTATCTTCAGCCTTCAACAGATTTTTGGTGATGTCCAATTATGTTTTTTGATTGATCATGTAATGTTAGACTTGTATTGAACAACCCAACCCGATCAAAATCACATTGGAATTTCATTAAGGGGTCACGACCTTCTGATAAAAAAGATAACTCTCAAAGTACAAAATATAACTACTCAGTTTATTTTATCAGAGTTTCCTATCTGAACCTATGAGTTGTCAATTCGATGAATCTATCACATTATGGAAACATTACCTTCTATTTCTGTTGCTTAAGTCTTCCTAATTGTTTATTATATTTAACAATAACACATTTAAAACCAAGTTCAAAAAGCTTAATTAAATTTTAACTTACTTGTAGTTTCAAGTACGAAATACAGATTTTTTTATAAGTATTTTTTTTCTTTGGAGAAATATTTAGAAAAAGGTAACACAGATGTGTTACAGATATATTTTCTTTCACAACATACAACAGTGTGATATTCTAACTTAGGAAGGATTGCTTTATGATGTTTTCTAACATGCTTTTAATTGGTATGATACCAAGTATTATTTTTATATACACCTCATAATTTAAATTTAATGTTTGCTCTCTGTGTTGAAATTTCTTCATATCATGATCTGACATAAAAAGCATTACTGAAAAAAAATAAGTAGCGCTTCATACTTTAAACTATTTTTTCATTTGGCTCCAATGTTAGAGTCTCGGGACCCCTTAAGATAAGAATGTAGATATTTTCATTCATTTTATGAAGCTTCCATATGTACACCAGCGATCAATCTTAATTACGAAGAAGGGGATGGGAGAGGGTACAGCGAAAAGCAAACAAACCATCTTTTAAAAAAATGATTGGTTTCCTTCTTCCGACCGATTGACTAAAAATAGCTGGAATCATTTTCCCTTTTTTTTTTACATTGCAGGACACGATTTTTTTTTTTAAGTTTCATTCCCGTCAAAAATTATGTTGAAAATTTGGGAAAAAGGGATATACCGACCTACATGTACCTACTGACCAAATAATTTTACCCCGAATTTAACCAAACATTATTTTAACGATTGTCTGACAAAAAATATTAAAACATAATTTTATTTTTCAACATAAAAAAATTCAAATGAACAAACACTCGACAAGACTGTTCGTGGGCAGGGGCTCCGGGGGGGGGGGGATTACTGTTTTGATAACTGATGATTTTTTTTACTGTTATAAGGTCACCTGAGTCACTCGACCTATTGCCATCCGTCGTTCGTCGTGTGTTAACATTTGAACATGTTCAGGTTCTTCTCTGAAACAGCTAAACCAATTTCAACCAAATTTTGTATACAGCATATGTGGGTGAAGGGGAACAAAAATTGTGAATTTCATGGTCCCTGTCCCCCTGGGGCCTAAGGGGTGGGGCCAAAACCACTAAAAATGCAATCTTTAAAAATCTTCTTTTTTACTCCTGGACATCAAGCAGTCAAACTGTTTGCATGATTGTAATCAGCAATGAGTCCTCTACCAAAATTGTGAAATTCATGGCCCTGGGGTCAGGGGTTCTAGTGCTAGGGCGGGGCTAAATAAGTAGGTAGTGAAAATGCATTATTTCTTTGAAAATCTTCTTCTCTGCTCCTGGGTATTAAATAAACTAACTAAGTACATAGTTATGATGAGCAAGAGTGCCTCTACCAAAATTTTGAATTTTATGGTCCCAGGGTCAGGGGTCTTGTTTTAGGGTGGGGCTGTAATGATCTCTGTAATGTATCTGTCTGTAAATTATTTTCCTCCCCCAGGTTTTAAACTGCCGTGGTAGCTATTGCATATTGCTAGCGACATTGTTTAGGTCTCTGTTATATCTTACAGTCTAAGCATCATTCTTCAGAAAAGGGTTGCTTATGCATCAGATGTAATGAATAAAACTAATGGAGAAGTTAAGTTCAATTGAGGAAGAAATAAACAATAACCTGAAGAAATAAAAAAAAAATCACCTATTAAAAGGCAAAAATATACAAATATATACAGGCATGTAGTATCATTTGTATCAGCCAGAAAAATTATTTCACACTTAATTGAAAAAATGTTCACCCTACTCCCCAATACTCTCTGTCTGTTTTATGATAGGAATTATAATTTTAGGCATCAATTAAATTTTAGAACAATGTCTACACATTCACCTAACACATATTAAGGATGTACAACACACCTACCCCAAAAAATTCCTGTCGTTTAATTTTCGTTATTTTTGTATATGTAGTACATAATTATATCTACTGCAAGTATGCATATTTTGGACAAAATCGTTCGAGTGGTTTTTGTACAGAAACTTCCGAAAGTCACCCCCCTTTAGTTGTTTACAAGGAGTGAAAAGTTTTTATCAATGAACTACTTAAACCTTGATTTTCAAAAAACCAGGTTAGATATCAATGTCAAATTTTATTGTCTTATTCCTTTAACCATTGAACACTAAAACATAGTCATCCTTTTGATATACATATGATCAAAACAATTTTTAAAGACCTTAAACTGAAAAACTATGAATTTTCTATGCCTTGAAAATTGCGTATTTTTCAAATTCAAAATTTTTTTGTGAAAAAACCTGTCGTTTAATTTTGGTAAAAAACTTTCTTTAGGTAGCTGGTAGTAAAAATAATCTTCATAATTTTTTGTATAATTTTTGTACGACCACTTTTGATTTAATAGCGGAAAATTACCCCCCCCCCTTTCTCAATCAAACACGTTCCCGCGCGTCTTTCAGACAGGGGTCGATCACTTTGTTATATGAATCTACAAATACATTAAAAAATTAAATTGGAATATTGCTTTTGCTTCAAAAATATATTAATTTACAAATTTAAAAGTTCTCATATGTAAAGCGTATTTAAATGAAGATTTTTAGGCAATTTTTGAATACCCCTATCACCCCCACCCCCTTCTTTTTTGCGTCGCAGACCATTAGCGTTTGACGAAACGTCGTTTACAGTGCAAATATACTGGTATTTCGTCAAGAATCCCGGAGGTATGCATTATTTTTTAAATTCATGAATGCAGAATAAATATTGACTACTCTTTTTATATGTATCAGAAAAAAATTACTAACAGATTTTAGTATTTAGTCCATATACGTATCACCGTGCAGAATTGACCCTTTTTATTATACTTCTTTTGGACTTTTATTCTGAACTTTAATATGTTTCTTTTGTTATTTTCCTTGGACTTATTTCTAAATCTTTATTTATTGTTTGACTATGAAGCTCCCAATTTTTATTCAATTACGTCTAGTGACGCTATATGGACAATCGTTGAGAACTACAAAGAGACAGAGTGTTAACCGTCACTAATCTCTAATGCCTTATAAAACAAACATGTAATTATTCGATTGATCTTTCTTTCATGTCCATCTTATCAAAACTTTTCACAGATTGTTATTTACTCAACACATGTCGTTTTGTCACTCAATTTGTTAATTGTTCCAAAGAAGTCTTTTATATACCAGTGTCAAAATTGTATTTGGCAGTTCGGAGGCCCGACGCATTACTGGCCACTTCCGTCTGTGTTCCCCGCTTGTATTTCTTGAATGTTAAAATTGTTGTCCATCATTTTAATTACATGCACTTATTAATAAACTCGGAAACCAGCTTACTCCTTACTTTGGACCTTTATATGTGTTTTCGGGAAGAGTCCTTGGAATACGGCTCTAATACTTCCGGCCAACGACGTCACTCACTTCCCCTGCCAACATTCCCTCTTGCCCTATCAACTACACATCTTTTAGACCCAAACTACGCGGTTATAACTGGTGGAGATATCCTAAGGGTAAATCAACGCCCGGGGCTGCTGCATATATTTTGCAGTAGTTTGATCCCGTATACCTTAAACGAGCGAGTTTCTCTACGTTATGTGGACTTCTCAGCATGATGATGGACAACTTCCAACTTCGACCATCTTGGACGTCACGGACTTTCCCCACAACTAATAGTGGAAAACATCCACATCGTTTCACTAAGTGCTTTAGATGTCATAAACCTGGACACTTCGCCAAGAACTGCAATTTTCGCATCATACAGAAGTCAAAGTCTCATCAGGTACGTGATCAGCACAGAATTCAAGAATACCTCGGAAAAAAACAGCTTCTTAAGGAACTTCCGTTTTACAACGTTAGAAATTCGGCGCTGCGTAATTTTATGGACTTTTCATCTGTTTTGAAACATGAGCTTGCCAAAACCAAACAAACTGTAAAAGACTCCCGAAATCAATTGCTAGAATTAATTTCAAAACTTGTACGGTTATATACGTATGCGTTATGCATTCCATATCACATTAAACCTGGATACGAAATCAAGTTTTGCTGAACTTGAATATGTTGATTAGGGCTGGGACGATATATCGAGATATCGTGATATATGTGATGACGATACGCATATCGATACAAATGAAGAAATATCGAAATATCGCCCATGAAAATCTGACTTCTATTTTTCTTTGTTTATTTAACATTTGGGGTTTAATATATAAAAAAATA